TCCTGCTGGTTGCTACTAAAGACAAACCTTGGACTCACACCTCTCTCCTCTCACAGGCAGCCATGGAAATACCACCTCCTCCTGTCAAAACAGGGAGTGTCTGGGAGCAGTGGTCTCATCTGATGCCAGCCAGCCTGGTCTCCTCTGGCATTGTTGATGTTGTGCTGGTTTCAGCTCAAAGCAAATAAACTGTCAGGCAGATAACGTGCTGTGACACAGGCTGCAAACACAGCTGGGGTGTCCCCCCCAGGGCAGGTCATTGGCCTTCTCCTTCCAAAAGAAATATTTTCTGAGAGCACTTGTGATGTTCCACCACAGACCACGGGCATCCTGGACTAAAAAAAGCTGTGGACCTGCAGGAGAGGGTCCAGAGATGGGCCACAAAGATGATCCAAGGGTTGGGAAGCTGTGGTGTGAGGAGAGGCTGAGTGAACTGGGTTTGTTCAGCTTGGAGAAGGCTCAGGGGAGACCTTGGCACCATGTTCCAGGATTTAAGAAGATGGAGACTCCTTTCTTACAAGGAGTCCCATGGGCAAGGTGAGGGGTTAGTGGGTACAAGTTAATCCTGGGAAGATTCCAAGTGGAATATTTTTCACAAAGAGAACAATCAGCCACTGGAATAATCTCCCCAGGGAAGTGGTGGAGTCTCCAGCATGGCACTCTTTGAAGAGTCAGCTGAACAGGGTCCTGGGCCATCTTGCCCAGACCCTGCTTTTGCCAAGAAAGGTTGGACCAGATGATCCTTGAGCTGTTCTGTGATCTTTAATGCTTGGGAGTGTCTCAAAAAGAGAAGTGGTGAGGGAGGGGGAGGTCTGGGGATCTCACTGAGGGTTTGATAGTTGGGTGCCTGTTTTCCAAAGGCCTTTCTGAGCTGTTCCAAACTTCAGCCTCCCGTGGGAGTTAGGAGCCCAAAATGCTGAAAAATCTCTTGATTTGATTTGATTTGCTCTCTTGCCCTTTGATGTCAGTTGACTGACAGCTGAAGCGTGGGCTTGTGCCGGAGGGGAGGGAAGCAAACAAAGCCAAACCCAGCCCCACCCTCACCAGAAAGAGAAACCCAACCCTCCAAGAAACATCAGCCTGATCCCATTGCCAGCTGAGCTGGAAGTCGGGGGGGTGTAGATGGAAATCCTAAGCTTCACCCACCACCAGGAGACAGAAGAGCTTAAAGGATTACTCCTATCACTTACACCTCCTCCTCCTCCCAACCAGGAGCAGCAACCACCAGCCCCCGGGAACAATGAGGGCTCAGGGCGGCCCGGGGGGGGGGGAGGATGAGGAGGGGTGGTTGTGGGGTGGGTTTCAGAGCCACGCTGGGCAGGCAGGGGGTTACCTCGTGGACAGTAGACATCCGGAGCCCAACGGTTGCACTCGTAGTTGTCCGCTGCCTTCTCGCAGGTGAAGCACTTAAACCCACGAGGATACGGCGTGGCTGGAAGGGGTGGACAAGAAGGGGTTAAAACGAGCTGCTTCATCCCCTTCTCCGAGGCTTTTCGGTGGCACACAGCAACGTTTGTTCTCTTCAGCTTCTCTAAGTTGGGCAGAAACCCCCTCACCACCAGCAGGACTCGGCAGCAGGACCACGTTGGCCACCGCTGACTTCCAAGGGGGTTGTTGGGAGCAAGGAGCATTTGTTCTCTTGGTGGCAGAGCTCACATCCAACCCTGCTCCTTCATCAGGGCTGATAACAAAATATCAGATGGATTTAAATGCTTCTGGAAGCTCTCCCACCTCCTTTTGAAGGCAGGCTGATGGCCCCAAAGGAAAGGAAAACCCAATTTGCTGAACCTCCAGTTTTTAAAAGCAGCCTCTGTCCTCATTTATCTCGCCAAACAAAGAGTTTAACTTCTTAAGTGGTCTCCTGGCAGGGCTTCTGTGGTACATTCAATACATCTTCAAGATGTTGCCACCTTCTCAGAAGCCAAGTGGTCATTGGGTCACGTTTATCTACAGGGTGTGAAGTAAGCTGAACCTCCACAGCCCCGTGGCCACATCACACCTCTCCCTGCCCTTCACCTCCTCCCCTCGCCCACCAGCTCTGGGCCAGACCCCATTCAGGGAGGTGAAGCAAGAGACATTCACTCCTTGTTTCCTCAGGCTCCAGATGGAGGTAAGGAGGTGACCAATAAGTGACCTGGGAGCATCTCTGGGTGGGGCTGGTGCTGCCTTGGAGGAACACCTTGGGATGGGACAACATGGCAGCACCAACTCCATTCACCCCCTCCCCCTGGGCCTCCAGCAGGTCATGGGTATGGCACAAAGCAGGAATTTCATCTTGCTCCCACAGAATGTATATTTTTCAGGTCAATTTGGAAAGGGAGTGAGTTTTCTCAGGGTCTAGAGGCCAAGTGTGGTGAGGAGCAGCTGAGGGAGCTGGGGGTGCTGAGCCTGGAGCAAAGGAGGTCCAGCACAGCTCCTGACAGGAGCCTGGAGCCAGGGGGGGTCGGGCTCTGCTCCCAAGGAACAAAGGACAGGACAAGAAGAAATGTCCTCAAGTTGTGCCAGGGCAGGTTGAGGTTGGACAAGAGTCTTCCCTGCAAGAGTTGTCCAGGCCTGGCCAGGGCAGTGGTGGAGTCCCCACCCCTGGAGGGGTTTCCAAGCTGTGGAGATGTGGTGTGAGGGACACGGGGCAGTGGGGACCTGGCAGGGATGGAGGAATGGTTGGCCTTGATCTTCAAGGTCTCTTGCACCCAAAAGAGCCCTGTGATTCTCTGGGAACAGATGACAGGCACAGCTCTAGATATAAAGAGGTTTGTACCCAATGAAGACAACAGACTAGTGAAAGGAGAGTCCATGGAAGATCTGAAGACTCATAACTTTGCTACAGCATCACTTTGGGGAGTCACTGAAGGAAAGTCAGGAGCAGCTGGTGCCACAAACAGCCTCAGTTGGCCCTTGCTCAGAGCTCTGGGTGTGCTCTGGCAAACCACACGCCTGTGGGCCTTGGTCTCGTGGCCAGGGGTTACTGAGGGACAGAAAACAGTGAACAAAAAGCTCCTGCCAGGCTCAGCAGCTGCCTGTAACTCTATCCAGCCTTTAATCCTTTGGGAAGCCACGGTCTGGTTTGATATCACAGAATGTCTGGGCTGGAAGGGACCTCCAAAGGTCATCTAGCCCAACCTCCCACCATAAGCAGGGACATCAAGCTGCTCAGAGCTTCATCCAGCCTGATCTTGAATGTCTGCAGGGATGGGGCCTCCACCACCTGTCTGGGCAACCTATTCCAGTGGTCTACAACCCTTGGTTTCTCAATATCACCTCCTTGCTCAGCCCTGCTGCTGCTGCTGCCTTGGCAGAGGGTTGTCCTCCTCCTCCTCCCCCCCGCAGCTTTGCAGCCCACGCAGAGGTGGCTTACTGGAAGGGTGGAGGTAGACAATGTCCTTCACGGTGAAGTCCCTTGGCAGGCAGCTGGTCACCAGGCTGAGCAGCAGCACCCAGGGCACCGTGGGCTGCCAGGCCATGGCCAGGAGAGCTCGGGACTCATGCGTCGGCCGAAAGAACCCACCTGGGCAAAAGAGAGAGGAAGGGTGAGCAGAGAAAACCCTCGAGGAGATCACCCACCACGTTGGCAACCCAACCTCACCAAGCCCATCCTGCTCCCATCGACCTTCAGCTGCCCACCCAAGGGGCTCAGCTTCAGTGGTATCCTTGGAAACACCTGGGAAAAGGGCTTGGGAAAACCTTCTCTTGGGTGGAGAAGGGCAAAGGGGAGCCAAGGAGAAGAGCAGTTGGGTTTGGCACTGTTTGCAGTTTAAGGGGTCTGCAAAAAACCCTCAGCAGGACGTTGATGAAGTCATTGGAGCCTGTGCTGCTGCTTTTAGAGAATGCTGGAAAACTGCAGGGTTAGACTGGGAAGAAGGGAAATGGGGAACTGGAGACGTGCTGGGATGTCTGGAGGAGCAGCAGTGGGTCTCCTGCACTCCAACACGGGCTCACACTCTTCAAAAATGCCCCTTTTTTTTGGCAAACCAGAAGCTCCCCATTGCTTTCCATGTATCTCAGGAAGGATGAGGAGCTCCTGGTGCTGCAGGTTGTCTCTTCCTTCAGCTGGCTGCTGTTCATGCCTGCTGCATTTTCCTCATCCATGCTCCACAGGCTCTTAATCCCTCCCTGATGCTGCTAACAAACCACAGCACATTTTTTTCCATGGCCTTGCACGAAGGGAACTAATTTAGGCAGAAAGAAAAACCTGCTGCTGTACCTCTTGTGAAGCCATCAAAACCAGTGACCTCCAGGAGCATCCCAGCCCCTTCACCCAGGCTGTGAGGAGCCAGACAACGGTAAACACACAGCTCATATTATTATAATTCCTTAAAAAAAAATGATGAAAACCTGTCTCCAAAACCCAGCAGGACAGGAAAACCCTGGGAGGACAGGCTAGTGAGCCAGGCAGGAGCCAGCAGCTTCCCCTGCCCACTGGCATCCATCCAGAACACACAAAGTTGGGGATATTTTTTTTCCCCACCCAGACTGCCCCAGAGATCTGCAATACCCAGATAGTTCCTAAGCAACTTCAAAAGCCTGGGACAGATGATTCAATAAAACAAGTTGGGTTATGTTTTTTTAACAGGAAAAATATTCCAGGGGTGAAGTGTAACCTTCCACCTCTGCCCCCAGATGTTTGTCTTGCAGCTGAGACCCATGGAGGACCAGCAGCACGATGGCCATGGTCAGGCTGTCCTTATCCTTGGCTCTTCTCTGAGGGTCTTTTATTAAGACACCATGAAATCCATAAAAATAGAGAGGGGAAACAGAGAACACACAAGGTGGGGCATTAAATGATGTTTGGTTTAACCTTAGGAAGGGGAAATAGCAATTTCCATTGGGTTTACTCCAGAGACACGTATCAGCCCAGGGAAAATGACAATCCTGATTGGAAGCAGAAAGGAAATAAAAGAAACCTCTCCCAGCCATGTGAAAGATGAAAGAAATGGGACCAACAGCTCTTTAACATCAATTAAAGAGCAGCTGATGATCTTTAATGAGTTGAAAGCATTCTATGATACCACGAGCCCACCTTGGCAAGACAGCTACATGCATGGATTGAGAACCTTCCACATTTTTGAGCTCCTCCTGGCTAGATACTCCCTGGCCAAATCTGACACTGTCCTGATGGTCCTGAGCCGAGGACAAAAGGAGCTGTCAGCTGCACAACCAACATCACCCCCTAGACGTGCTCCACCCTGGAAGAATTTGCTTTCCACCTGGAACACAAGTCTCCCAAGATGCTCAGCACAGGGGAACAAGATGTGTTGGGACTCCTGAGCCAAGTCTCTCCTTTCCAACCCAAGAGGAGCCATCACTGCACACACCTCACCCTCACTCCTTGACCAGAGCCACCCAATGGCAACTGGGGCCTCACCTGTGGAAATGGCTTTAAATTCATACTGCTGAGATCATGAAGGTTTGGAGGAGAGAAAGGGGGCTTTAATTAGTTGGGTTTTTTTTAATTAATATTAATTTCATTTTTTTTTTAATCCAAACCAAAACAAGGCAGATTTCACAAACCAATTTATTCAAGAAATAATCAGCCATGATCCTGCAGCACAAAGTAATTAGGATCCCCCATCCCAAAGAGTCCTCACACTTCATAGCTCCAGCCAAACTCAGCAGCATCCTATGATTAACATATGCTATCAAATAAGAATATAAGGGAGAAATAGCAATATATTAACTTAAAACATAACAAGATTAAAATAATATCAAAAATTCCTCCCAGCCATAATAAGAAAAGGGCCAAACTCAGCAGCATCCTATGATTAATATATGCTATCAAATGAGAACATAAGGGAGAAATAACAATATATTAACTTAAATCATAACGAGATTAAAATGATATCAAAAATTCCTCCCAGCTATAATAAGAAAAGAATTTTTGGGGTCACAAAAAGCTGTTGTATTTACAGTCCTGATCAACGTTGAGGCCACCAGATTTCCTTCCTCTGGGCCCAAGTGCTTATTCAGCCCATCTCCAGACGTCCGTGTGGAGCTGTCAACACTCCCCTGGCTGTCAGATTCAGAGGACAAGAGGCTGTTAGTCCTGCCTGAAAGGGTGGCAGGAAACCTCCAGCTGGACACTAAAAATACTCACATCGTGCCTCTTGTAATTACACGTAGACCGATGGCCAACACTGCCCCTAACGAGCTGCAGGAACTACCAGTGAATCTACAGAATTCCCTTCCCCACCTCTGTTTTCTAGGTTGGAAACAGGTTTCATTGAGGAATTAAAATTTACAAACCCCCCTCTGTGTTGTGAGACAGATCAAGGCCAACTTGGCCCCTCTTTGGAACCATTTCTACCGCTGAAGAAGAAAGTGCTCGTGGAAGAGAACATCTGCCACAGTCCCTGCTCTTCTCACAAGCACGTTCCACCTGCTCGTTTCATGCACACATAGTATAAAAAAAAAGGTACTTTTGGAAGTATCTATTGTCAGAGACCCAAATACCCAACATTTCACAAATATTTTGAGTATCAACACATAGGTCCTGTCTTTCACAGGGGGCAAAATACATGTCCTGGTACACCACATCCAACTGAGAAAATCTTTGCTGATGTTGAAGGGGGCACTGACATTTCACAGGGAGTGGAGAATCAAAAAATTGTTGTGAATAAAATCAAACAGATCCAATAATTACTGTTTAGCACAATAAAAATCAAACATATCCAATAATTGCTGCTTTTACTCCTTCTCCCTCTTTTTACATCCACACGTAAAAATAAAATGTAATTGGTTTTCTCTTTTTAAAGGAAGGAGATATATCTATAAAATATATAAAATAGATATAACTATGTGTATAGTTTGATATTAGGAACAGTTTCTTCCCCTGGAGGGTTGCCCAGGGCTGTGCCAGGCTGCCCAGGGCAGTGGTGGAGTCCCCACCCCTGGAGGGGTTTCCAAGCTGTGGAGATGTGGTGTGAGGGACACGGGGCAGTGGGGACCTGGCAGGGATGGGGGAATGGTTGGGACGGATGGTCTTAAAGTTCTCTTGCAACCAAAAGGTGCTGAGGGACATGGTTTAGTGGTGGGGGAAGGGTTGGACTCAATGATCTTAAAGGTCTTCTCCAACCGAGATGATTCTATGATATGGAAGTGTGATCTCAAAACCTAGAGAAATGTGACAAAAAATGGTTTCCATTTCACTTCTTTATAATTTTTCTGCAAAGGTGGCTTCTCTTCATGAATGCTGTAAGACCTGAGGAGCTTCATCACCTCATCCCCAGCAGAGTACACCCACCAACCTGACAGAGACCGGCGTGCCCCACTCCCAGCTGCCCACCGGACTGCGGTGGGGAGAAACGGTCCCATGGGATTTAGATCATCCAGCCTGTTGGTCAAAGGTCTGGGGCACTGACACAGAAATTCCAGCTAACTCCATCTCGGCAGCTTCAGCAGCACCTTTCAGAGGAGAAGGCATCCCCCTCGCCGGCTGCAGGAGGATGACTTCCCCCCTGCCCTTTGCCCCGACACGGCGCTGTGGACAGGACCCATTAAAGCCCCTAAGCAGCAGCCCAATTGCCCATTTGTCAGGTCTCATTAAGGCGGTGGCATGTCGTCCTCGTTGTCACCAGGGCTGGGGACAATGGAAGGTCCCTGTCCTCCCAGGAAGGACCCGGGGAGCCCGCCAGCGGAGGCGCCGCCCGACGTCGGACCTCCGGTTCTGGGGGAGACGCCTTCTAAGGGGGAGGCAGTTATTTGGGAGGGTGTGTTTGTCCCTCCTGGCCCTCTCAGAAGCTCAGTAGATACCTGCCAGCTGGTGTTGGCTGAAGGCCACGAGCTGTGAGGTTGCAGCAAACGTTGTGGCCTTTCAGGAGAACAATAAAGAAGTTGGGCACCAAATCTCCCTAAATAAAGGTTTGGCCAAAGCCTGGCATGAAGGAACTCCTGGTTTGTGGGCATTTCTGTGGTTCTCCTCCTCACGTGGGTAGAGCACAGTGCCCCTCCACCTCCCTCCCACGGGAGATGAGGCATTGTCCTGCTCTCCTTGAACATCTGACGCAGATGGAGGTTGCCCAGTCTCACAGGAGGTTGATGCTTGGGATAACTCCTGCTGATACCTCAGCTCCACCTTCCTCCTACATCTCCTCCTCGCCCTCCGGGCCACATCTCCACGTTTTATGGGTTACTACAACATTTCACTTGAAGACACTTTTCTCTTACCTCCTCCCTTGGAAGAGCCTCCATCTCAGAGCACCCTACAGCAACACTTCCTTCAGGCAAATAAACCAGCAGAAGAAAATGAAAGCCCCCTCTCAGGAGCCACTAGACCCATCAGCCCTAAAGAACCAACCACAGCATGCCCAACCAGCAACATCTGTCAGAAACTGCAGAAACCACCACACCAGCAATTAGCTCTTGTGAATTCCTCTGTGGATGGTCATCTGGGCCATCCTTCAACTATGTGGTGGTGATCATTCATCGTTGATCAACCCAAAGGTCCTGCTGCCAGTGTGCAATGCTG